TATCCTAGAGCAATCCCTTAATCTCATACAGTTTTCTTCAATCCAATTAGCTCAAGAATTTAGCTAATAATTATCAAATCAAATTAATCCTCAAAATTAGCTAAAAATTGCTAAATTCACCAAATAATCACAAACCCATGATTTAAACATCACCAATAATCATCAATAAACTCAATAAGCTTAATAAAAAGTATCAAACTTCACAAAATGAAAAAAAATTCGAAATTGCCCAAAAATAGAAAAAAGTGATAAATGGCAAAATTCAAATGACAACATTTGGTGAAGATTTGTTACCTTAAACTTGTTTGTTGATGATTATGGATGTAAATGGTGAAAAAACCCCCAAAAATTTCACTCCAATTCGACCTCAAATGAAGAGTTCAAAAATGTGAAACCCTTGTTTTTGAGTTGCTCAAATCCGAATTAAAACTTGCTTTTGAAAGAATTTAAGCTATGGAATCAACTCTTAAGAGAAAGGGGAATGTTTTGGTGTATTTAGTTTGGAGATTGGACGATGAAAAGATGGATTTTAGGAGTGGTGTGTATTTAAGGTGTAAGTGTGTATGTGAATTGAAGAAGAAGAGAAGGAGGGAATTGGGGAATCCGTGCGCGGATTCCCCTATTTGCGTGCCTCTGGCTGGATATCCGGCCGGATTCTGGCCAAGGAATTTTTTTTTTTTTTTTGATAATGCATATCCGGCCGGAAACTGGCCGGATTTCCGGCCGGATATGAGGCAGTAGCTTCAAAAATCGTTCTTTCCTTCCCTTATTAATCCATCCATGAATCCGGCCAAAAATTGGCCGGATTCCTGGCCGGATTTACTGCAGAAATTTTTTTATTTCTGCAGTTTTTCCTTCCGTTTTCCATTTAAATTTTTTTTTTACTTACCCAATTTTCAACCTTTTCCATTTTCTTCAAGAAAAATTCACCTTAAACATAAAAAATGTGCTTTCTCAACCAATTGCTCCTTAAAACATGAAATCATGCATCAATATAACTTTAGAATTAAGCACTTCAAATGCATGAATTGAATCAAATGAACAAGAAAACTCCCTTTTTGCTTCCTTATAAGCTCTTTTGCACTTGAAACAAATTGCATAAACCATTGCCATTGCCACCTATAAAACACACAAAAACACTAATTAAACAACTTGAACTTACTAAAAACAAGAAATCGTTGGGTTGCCTCCCAACAAACGCTTCTTTATAGTCATTAGCTTGACTATATAACCTCATTATCAAGGAGGTTTAGTTAGCGAATAATCCACCATTTTTGGACGTGGTGAATCATTAAATGGTGACTTTATAGCAAAAGTCACATGATCTAATGATGTGAGAAATAACAGTGACTTACCTATCCCAAGTGTTTCATAGATATTACCTTGAGTATGCACCACTTGAGAATTCACCAAAGGAAATGCCATGAAAATATCCTAGGTAGCAATACCCTTAGAACCTATACTTTCAATGCACTCCTCAAGAGGGGTGAAAAATGAGTCATTAAAACTCACCTCTTGAGACTCAAAGTTAGTTCCAAAGATATTATCATGTGAAATGGATATTTACTCATTAAAACACACTTGAGATTCATCATTTTCATCAAAACGCAACCCATTTTCACATACAACATTCCTACCATTCATGCTAGGATCATTTTGCAAATTATTAGAGGAAATAACTTCACACAATGCATTCAATTGCTCATGTATTCTACCAAAGTGAGAAGCTAATTCATCTATTCTTTCCTCAATCCTATCAAAACGGTTGGAAGTTGCATTTGCTAGCTTTTCTATTGTTAAATCAAATTGATTAGAAAAATTTTCTACAGCTAGCTCCCAAGATGCATTAGAATCATTAGCTAATAGTTCACTTTCTGATTCCCAAGGTAGAGGTGCATTAGGTAACTTCTCTATTGCCAACTCCCAAGACGGTTTTGATTCATATTGGACACTTTCACGTTGGTAATCATAAAAATATGAATAATCACTATAAGTACATTGATTATCCCAACCATTAGCACTATATCGATCAAAACAGGGATTGTAATGCTCTAATTCATCATAATAATCCACATTTTGTGCTTGCATACATATATTAATAGCATGATAACTTCCACACAAGTCACAAATTACATGATAAGAATTAAAAGCATTAACATTCCTCCCTTGTTCAATTTCATGCATAATTGTGTCCATTTGAACTTGTAACATCATAACATCAAATTTAGTCTTTAAGCACCTTAAACCATCTTCAAAAGACATACATTCAGTAAATTCTTGGTTACTTCTGTTGAAGAAGCTTTGCACTTGGTAACCATCCATTGCCAATCTTCCACTTCTCAAGCACTGTCCTTCATTTTGATCTATCCTTCTCATCACCTAAAATTGTTTTTAAACAGCTTAATAGCAAGATTAGTAAGAAGAATAGGTGATAAAACACATACACACATAAAACACTAAAATTATAGAAAATAACATTCACACTATAACTAATAAAATGTCTAAACTAATAAAGTTACTCTTCACACTGATATTGCCAAATCTTCCCCGGCAGCGGCGCCAAAAACTTGACGGGTTTTTAATATACGTACAAGTTAAAAAAAAAAATCGAATTACACCCGTTCACTGCAAGTATACAGGTCAACTAGTAGTTTAGGGTATATATCGGGTCGATCCCACAGGGAAGAGTGAACAATTACCGGTATTACTAAAGCTTCTCTATTATTTAGACTATCAATGAATTATAACAAATTTAACCTACTAAAATTATACAAAATAGCAAATAAAAGCTCCTTAGGTTGTGGTATCTCTAACTACTCATGCAAGTGCTATATTTGGATCATTGAGTACTACATCTAGGCTAGTTATGGTGTAATTTCCTTATGCATTTGAATCCTACTTTCGTAGTGAATCAATTATACTTATAACTAATCCATACATATTCTCATGGTTATGAAATTAGCTACAAGTTCATTTCTTCAGTGAAATTACATGAAATGAATCACTAAAAACCACATAGGTGCACCTCTACTTTCGTGAGTGTACTCCCTATATTTAACACTTCTTGAACTAATGTTAAATCTCAATTTTCATTGCAGAAACAACACCTTAGATAATCACAATTAATGATATCAGATTAATCATGATTTAAAGAGTCAAAGTGCTAAATAACTTACTCAAATCATAGCAATCAAATAACCAAATAATAAACACTAACAATCATAGAAAGTTCAACCAAACCCAAGGCATAAACTTTAAAGACACATAATAAACATAAAATCCAGAACTTGCATATCAACTAAACTTAAGAATCTGATACAAAAGATAAAGAGTTGGAGAAGAGATTACCCATGTCACTTGAGCTTCACCTCCTCCTTCATCTCCATCTTCATCCTAATCTAGCTAACATACAGGAATGGATGAACTATACTAGTCTACACTAATGCTAACCTAACACTCAGAAGATGAAAGAGCTACATTTCTGCACTCTCCAAGTTCTCCCGTATGTCTCTCTCTTCTCCCTTCAATCTTGCAAGTTTTGGCTATATAAAGATGAAAGGTGGTCAAGAAATGAGGCTTACACCTCCCTTTTACAGCTGGTAATGTTTCTCACATGTCTAGCATTACATGTGACTTAGTGGAGGTGAAATTAAGTTTTCCGCGTAAAGAGCAGCCTTCTCTAACCACAATCCGGCCAGAAATCCGGCCAAAAATCCGGCCAAGTTCAGGCCGGATTGCTACAGTGACATTTTGGTGCACTTTTGTTCAATTTCCAGCTCTGCTCCGATTTTGCGTCAACTTCAACTGAACTTTTCTTGATGATAAAAGCTGATTTAACTCTTGACCGAAACATAAAACTTGTAGCTCCTTGAGCTACTTTCCAATGCATCAAGAATCACCTCATTTGGATCTGTGTAGGCTGATAAATGACCGAAATACCCTTGACTGCTCATTGCCCTGTTCTAGCTTCGACCAATGGAAATTAGCTACTGTAATTCGCCTTTTTGACCTGGAAAACCTTCAAACTGGATTCAGATGTCTCACAAAAGTTGTAGATCTATCTCTTATCTTCAAATTGGTTTAAGAATCATTTCAATCCGATCATTGTAGCTCAAGTTATAGCCAAAATACGAAAATGTGTCAAAACTGTCAAAATGCACAAAATCCAAGTAAAAAGTGATAAAAACCTCATTTAGCCACTTAAAAGCATTTTTCACTAATTATAGCCAAAATGATTCATTTTCTTCCAATAATATACTCAACGTGACTAAAAATAATATAAAATATCATACAATTATTACGTAAATTAGTCACTTATCAGCTATACATAACAAGTACATATAAAAGAGCATGAGGGTGCTTTGGAGTAATATAAGCCAAAAGGCAAACACTAATTAGCATGAAAAACAAAAATAGAGAAAAAAACTAAAGGATATTATTATCAAAGTACAAATTTTGCTACCATACTAGAATCAACCATCAAGCATCATATTCATACTGCTCAAGTTGTACATCCTTGGACTTCAAAGGCACATATTCCCCCAAATAAGCTTCAAGATGATCCGACAGGGCTGACTTCTCAATGTTTTCATGGTGATAAGACTTGCAAACAAAGTAGACAATTGTCTGAATCACCAATCCAAAGAGAATCAACTTGAAAAGCAGCAACAAACACAGCATCCCTAATCCCAAACGGTGTAATACTCCAAATCTCCATCCACCATGAACAACATGAGCATAAAACAACAGCTGAATTGCAGCAAGGGACAAATTCAGCTTAAAAAATATAACTATGCTAATCAGCATCTTCCCTTTGATTAATTCCTGGCTTTTCATCATAGCTTTGATCCCATATGAGTCTTCTAAAACAGACACAACACAGGCCAACTGCCAAATTATGGTCATGTAGACAAAGACCAGAATATACACAATCAACAAGAGGATTAACAAAACAGCACCAATCAACGTTTCTCCAAGGGTCATAGTCAATATCATTAAAACTATAAAGCTATGAGGTTATAAGCAAAGAAAGCAAGAAAAGCGCACAGAAAAGTGACCACAAGCCTTTGCCAGACCTTTGGGACAACACTCATGACCTTCTTGAAGGTTATTTCTCGGCCGGTATATATGCAGGCAATCGTGTAAACAACAGCAGCAGTGGAAAGCAGAGAAAAAATGAGGAGAAATGTGAGGTAAGTGATGTTGTACCAATTCAAATCAGTGAGTTTCTTGCTTTTTTGAGGCTCTGATTGGGCACGATGCAATTGGTTTTCAGTGTGGATGACTTTTATCTTGAGTAGATGGGATAGTTCTATATGAGCCAAGAAAATGAAGGATAGTGGAAGGATCAAAGATAGGGTGATTTTGCTGAAGATTTTTCTCCATCTAAAAACCACTTTGTAGGCTTCTGCATAGATCCCAAAAAGGCCTAAAAATTGCATCTCTTCTTGCTCTCTATCCATGATTGTTTCTTCAAGTGTATGCAGATTGGAAAGTTGAAAGAGGACAAGACTTGAAGAAGAAAGGAAGAAAGACTAATATAAGCTGGCTTTTGAGGAAGAAAATGTAGGAAAATTATATTCTGGACATTTGTCTATTTATCTGTCATAGCACCCTTTATTACAAGTTAACTGCATAGGACAATTTCATTATTTGTTTAATTGTTGAGAATGCATTTATAAGCAACCATTTGGGATTATTTGTTGGTACAAGCCAAATACAGATTGAGTAAAATATTGGATTAGGACATATATTGGAATTAAATTAATAAACAAATGATAGTGTTGGGATCAACCGAATTAGAACATGATAACCCAAAAATGTAAAACACTGGAGTAGGACGTGAAAGGGATTAGAATATTTAGACTCATGGAATTAGAATATCCATAATATGTCAAAAACATAATAGATGCATCCAAGGCGATTTGGTGGAGTTTTTCGTTTCTTTCTATATCGATTTAGATACCGCAGTTCACCTAGATATTTACATCTAGATGGCAAATAAAAGGTATCTATTTAGGTTTAGATTGTATGATACATTTATCCAGTTACTTACAATTTAGGGGGTACATAAAGTAGGATGTGGCCAAAAATTCTGATCAATGTGCAAGAGGTATATAATTGATATAATTGAACATTTTTTTAGATAATAAACTCAATTTAACAAAAACACAATCTTTTGGATAATAAAAGTAGTTTTCTGTTCAAGTCTGACAAGTGAGATTAACAAACTTTTGGAGATTTCAAAAGGGGTGGCTAAGAATCTCAGAAGCAAGGCACAGGACAGAAGGGATGGAACACATTGGCTTAACTGCGAACATCCTGTGGCAGGTGTGGAAAGAAAGAAACAAAAGAGAATTCGAGAACACTACCGTTGATCCTCCCTTCAAATATATAAGGAAAGCACATTCTAATTGGCTAGAGCAGCAGCAGCTAGAGTGCAAGAGGGAAGGAGAGAGCACAGAAGAAACAGCCCCTAGGCAAGAAACTCAGGATCAGAGTTATGTAAAGGAAGGAGAAGTGCTAATGGAGGTGTCTACAACCATGAAACAAGGGCAGCTATTCATGGGAATTGGAGTCACAGTTAAGTTTTTTGCAAGCAATACGATGATAGGGTGGGTAATGAAAGACATCAGTTCTGGAAATAAACTCCTAGATGAAGCTCTGGCGCTGAAACTAGTGCTGTGTAAAGCAGTGCATCGTAAGTGGAGCAATCTTAAGCTGAGAGTTGGTAACAAAGAACTGTGGAGACAATTGAAACACCAGAGTCCAGCGGACAGCAGAATAGCAACAGTACTTGAAGACATCTCTCAGTTACAGAGATTGTTTCGCATGTGCTCTTTTGTTTTGAATAGGGAAGAAGAAATGATAGTCAGTAAAAAAATGAGTGTTGATGCTTTAAGCATTATTGTGGATGAGGAGCGACAGCTTCCTCAGTGTCTTTGAACACTAGTGTGTACAGTTCGATCGAGCCGTTGCTCGTACTTGTAATTTTTTACCTTTAAAGCAATGAAATCATCTTATCGTTTCGACAAAAAAAAAAAAAAAAAGATTAACAAACTTATATTACTTTCTAGAAGGGACAGAACAGTAATATACTGTACATATATTGGATTAAATTCTTAAGGGGTGGCAGTTTCTATGTGGCTTCAGTTTTTTTTTTTCCCCTTTCATTGTAGAAACTGACTACGAACCTATTTATTTTACCATAGGGGGTCCAATTGCTTAGCTTCCTGAAGGTTGGACTGAATATTGCCACCTAGAAAATTATATACCTACACACACTCACACACACATGTAGACTTGGGTAGATTTTAGTTTTCAAGAGATGATTTTTAATTATCAGCAAAGTCAGCTATTACCTAATTGATGACCTCTTCCAAATTCATACTATATTCCTTTTTGAATGTTATTTTCTAAGTATTAGCAGTCTAAATCACTTTTAAACTTGACTTAAGTTCATTACTAAATAGATGGCACCTGCTTCTGTCAACTTCATCAAATACAACCCACCCCAGCACCAGGTACAATGATGTTAATCTATGTTGAATATCACAGATTGACTGTTACGTTTTGGAAGCAGTAAGCCATTTATTTGAGGTTGATTAATAGTCCACTATACAACAGCAATTGTTTTTCAGCTTATACGTGCAAAAGGGTTTCAATTGTATTGTTTGAGCTAGTCGTGGCTTTATTTCTTCAAATGCTAAAAATAAGTTTTCCGAGTAGCAATTTCATCTGCAAAAATAAAAAAGAAAAAGAAAAGAGGGTTCATCTAGATTAAGTTGTAGAAATAAATTTCAAAAGGGAGAATCTATCATCTAATTATCAGAAGAATCAACCACCTAAACAAGGAGTGATTAATGCCGAGGGTGATTTTTTTTTTTGGGTCAATTCTGAAATCATGGAAATGAATTGATTAATGAGAAGCTTTTACATAATGCTATATTTGAAATGGTTATAATTTATGTTCAAGTGTCTTTTGGTTCCCATTCTTTTATTTCACTAGTAATAGTTCACGTGCTTTGCATGTGGCTGTAATATTTTAAAATATATTATTCTTTAAATACTAAAATTTTTTTATGAAATTTTGATCATCAACATCATAATATAGTATTTTTATATTATTTTTTTAAGCTAGTTAATTTTAAAAATTTATTAAATGAAAAGAGGTAGAAAATATTCCAATGTAGTTGACATGTCCCTTAGGATTGAATTTGAAATCAGGAACCAAATACTTTTTGATTTATAGCTAAAACTCTAACATATCAAATATTGATAATATCATGTTTTACCAAAATTATTGTATATTCATGATTCTATTGCATATAAACCACAATCACTACAATTTTTTATAAACAAAGAATATAATTAAGTTAGAAAAATAAACATACATGTCATTTGAATTCTTTATATTATGTTAATTCTATTTTTGTCAATAATAGAGTATAAATGATCCACCATGTAAAGTTTTTTTGACTTGTAAATTCTAACAATTGAAATTTTATAGATAGAGATAGTTAGAATTTTTCTATTTTTCTTTTCTTTTATTCATATTTTTAGCACAATCCAATGCGAAGCCAAAGCAACAAGTCTATTTTTTTCATTTGAGCACAATATCTTTTTGGTTTTACTATTAGTTTTTTTGATGATCATGGAATTGGAATGAGAATTGTGGCTAATTAACAATTTTAATATTAATTTTTTGTATATTGCAGTGTTTTATTTTTTAATTGACAACTTTTAATCCATAAACGCTATCATTATTATCAATTATTGGAATGCACTAAATATGTCTAATTACAATTGTCACCATAAATGAAATTTACTTAATTTAAAGCTTTTCATTTCATAACAGCTTCCATTGTTCACTAATATTGTAATACAATAAATATATGTAATCATTAGAAAAAATAAGGGTTTTTTGGGCATCATTAAAAATAATTTGAATATCATTTTCATTTTATCATTCTTCATTTAATGTTTACTCTTATTATAATTCTTATTTTATCATTGGAGATGGTTTTTGGCTTGATGGATGGATTTGGTTTGCTCAAACCAATACAAATGAAAAATTACTATGTTATTGTCAATAATAATGTTTGTCTTCTCCTAGATATCAGTGATTTGAATGTTGTCTTTGGTATTATTTTAATTGTATTCTAGCTTTTAATTCATTTGCTATTTACTTTATGTCATTTTATAAATAGTTTTCAATTTTTTTTGGTTCTTCTTGTTTTGATCGATTGCTATTAATGATAATAGTGGTTTGTATGATACTGTTTCAGATTTCTTTTTTCCAGTTTAATACTGCTATTTCAGTTATAAAGGTGTCATCACTTTTTGTATATTGAAATTCCATTGGGTGCAACATGAAAAATTTTTCATATTAGTAAAAAGTGCATAATTGTAAAATTTGCTCGTAAAATTTGTATAAAGATATATAGATAATAAGGGTTCTTTTCTCCTTGTATGTTTCTCCATTTTCTAAAGAGTGTCTATTTTTTGACATTGACTTTCTTTTTTTTTTTTTACAATCTCAACTAATGACTAATGAGAAATTTTTCATACTTCAATTAAGAAATTTTGACACGTATAATTATTGGAGATGGAGTCCAATGGTAAGTAAATAGTTTTTAATGAGCAATTTTTAATTATCATTACCAATACTATTAAGATGTAATCAATTGGAGTGTTTTATTTCTTTTAATTAGTGCCACATTAAAATGTAAAAATTCTGATTAAAAGACATGAGGGTAATTTAGGAATAACAAAGATTTAAATAAAAAAGTACTTACACATACACTCCCCAATACCAAGATTCATAATTTTTATAGAGTAATGATGAAGTAATAAACTGCCAAACGTCAGAATCTTCATCAGTCCACCACTTAACATAGTAGTGGAGTTATTTTGTGACAGCTCAAGTATATTTGCTTCACAGGCCTCTTTCACATTTCAAGTCCAAACTTTGATATATCATCCATATTGAAGATAACATCTCATCAGCAGCAAACAAGAGCACACGATTAGTAAAAATCTCTGCAGTGAGCCTTTGCATGACCAAACAATGAAATTCTCTCCAATGAGACAGACATCATAACCAAAATTTGCTTACAGATTTGCAAAAGTTTAAAAGTACTGTTACACCTTCTCAACGTCTTTCTATGCTTTCCACAAGATCAGGATTCAAGCCAGGAAGCATCATGATTTGCATGCACCATATCTCAAGTTTGAGATCCAAGCTTCAAGCTTTGATCCAAGAACCCAAACTCAGCAACTGATTGAATTCCTCAAAAGTAGCCATCCTGTCCAGGTGATCCCTTGTAGATCCTTCATCCTTCAGTGCCTTCAGAACATCAAGCATGGCATGTGCAGAGGCATAAAGAGTTGTCAACGGATGAACAATCAAGTGATAACCATATGATTTGAGCTCCTCAGGTGTAAGCATGGGAGTTACACC